GAGCAGGCCTGGCAGATGCGCTGCTGGGGCCGGGAAAAGGAAGGACAATAACCCAACTGACTCCGTAAGGCTGGGAGGTCGCAGCTCCTCTGGCAGCATCTCCTCCCGTGAGCTGTTTTTGCCGTGCTGCTGCCCACCCCAGTGCCCCCCCCAGCACCCAGTGCCACCCCAGCACAGCTGGGCGATGCCCCAGCAGCTGGCAGGGAGCTGGCAGGCCCTTATCACTACCGTGTGTGGCAGAGGCAGGGGACATCCCAACCAGGGGGTCCGCCTTGCAGGCAGGCACGCGGGCCTCGGCAGGAAGAAGCCCCAGAGGGGCCGGAGGGGAAAGCACAACTGCTTTGGGGGTGCAACGGGTTTGCTCCCTGTGGGGCAGGATCTACCAGAAGCTGGGGATAGGGCCACAGGGACACAGGAACAGCGCTCCCACATGGCCCCTCAGCAAGACCCCAGCAGCGGGGAGCCATCTCCAGCCTGCTCAGGCTCCAGCCGCCTTCCCTTCTTGCTGCCAAGTACAGGGGAGGTTTGTCCATCTTTGGCTTAGACACTGAGCACCTAAACCAGCAGACCAACGCCAGGAAGGGGCCAGGACAGCCTTGGGCTCTGGTGCTGCCACACTCCTCCCGAGAGAAGTTACGGGATACAGGCTCTGCACCTCACACCAAGAGGGGCAAGAAGCCACACGCAGGTTAAAGGCAGCTGAGGATTCCCACGTGACCTCCAGCCAAGCTGGCACATACCCTGCCTGCTGCCTTCCCCGGTCACACTAAAGCCCATCACCAGAGGAACTCGCAGGAACCGCAGTGGGGGCAGGTGCTTCAGCAACACCCTTGGGCGGGTGCGACGGAGCTGCTCGTTTCTCGCTCCGTGCAAGGCCTTTCCCCGAGCCCCACGTGCCAGCTGACCCACCTGCATGCACGGAACACTCAACTGGCAGAGCTGAGGCGCTCGCTCTGCCCCACGGCATCTGGGTCACCTCCACGTCACCTCCTCGCCAGCACGGCCCCGGGAGAGGGGCGGTGAGATGTAACGCTGGAGAGGCACTAACTCCCCTAAGGCCAAACACTTCTGACCGTAACAGCACCGACGCTGGGAATAAAGGAAAACGGAGGTACTCTATTCCATACAGATCCCTAGAAGCACTAATAGCCCTGGAGAGGCCACCTTGGGAGGCCTGGAAGAAGGCAGCCTGGCTGGGGGGACCCCGGGCAGCAGCAGTGTGCCCAGGCCGTGAGGAAGGCCGGGGCGGCATCACCAGAGCGCAGCCACACAGGGGGTGTGATCCCCCCTCCTTTGCCCGGCACTCACGACACTACATCCAGATGCTGCATCCAGGCACGGCACCCGAGATACAGCCGCTGGTCTGTGAGCTAGCTAGCTGGGATGTGAAAGTTGTCAGATGGGTTTATTCACTCTCAGGAAGCGGCAGCTTTCGGGAGACCTAGCAGCACCCCTTTCCCACACCCCCCAGACCTACGACACGGCTACTGAGAAGACGGAGCCAAGCACTTCGCTGAGAACAGGATAATGAACATGGACTAAAACCAGGCAGGTTTCCTGGAGGAGGGAAAAAAGACAAAACAGGAAGTTTTGTCTTGAGAACCTGAAGCAGTGGAGCAGAGGCCAAGAGAAGTCGTGGCATCCATCCGTGGGCATTCCCGGATGCAGCTGAAGAAGCCCTGGGCAACCTGGTCTGAAGTCAGTGCTAGCCCTGCTCTGTGCAGGCGCTGTGCCAGAGCTCTCCCACCCAGGTTGGTGCTGGATAAGACCTGGAGCAGAGCCAGCAATGCCGGGTAGGCTCTAGAGGAGAGCAGGAGCAGGTGCCAGGACAGGGACAGCTGCCAACACCTTGTGCATCTGCACGACAGACTCGTCACCACCCGGGCACAGTGTAAACCACAAGTGACGAGGACATTTCTGCCCTAGAAGCATTACTTCCTTCAGTTTGGCTCTGCTCTGCTGCCTAACAGCACCGCTGCACCGCCAAGGCAGGTGCTGGGAAGAGGAGGGGCCGCCTTTCAGGCCGGGGCAGAGCGAATCCCAGTGCCAAAGAGCACGTCTGTCCGGCAGTCACAAGCTCTTCTGCGAGGGCAGACGACGCTTGTCTTTGATAGCGTTCCTCTTCCTCTTCTTGTTCAGGAAGCTCTCCAGCTTTCCACTCCTCTTCAGCTCTGCGTACTTCTCGGCTAGCTCCAATTTCCGCTGCTCAGCTGCCGAGGGGAGGGGAGCGAGGTTTTAAACCGAAGCCCAGATCATCTCTACAGACCAGCCCCTCTCCCTCCCAGCCTCCAGGCCTGGATTGTCCCTTGAGTACCAGCATTAGAACAATCCCACCCCCGCCAGCTCCGCGGAATATTATGGACAACCCGCTTCCACGTGCTCCCTCTAGGCCTCCCTGCAGCGCGTTCACACCGAGCACTTACATTTCTTTAGGAAGAAGGGTTTCTTTCCCTGCTTGGCCAATTCCCTCTGTTGTCGCTTCAAAGACAGCTGCCTCTCCCTCAATTTCTGCTGTTTCTCCTGTGCCTGTTCTTGCTGCATCTGCGTGGACAGGACGGCCTGTGTCAGCCACCGTCTAGGCAGGCCTCAGGCCACACACGCTCTCTCCCAGCGCACCGCCTCTCCGAGGAGACGCCGTGCTGAACTCACCATGCGGTTCAGGAGCTGCTGGAGTTTCTCCTTCCGCTCCACGTCCCGGCATTTTTTCAGCTGCTTCTGAACCATCTGAAGAAGAGAGCAGAAAGCTGCGTGACCGCCCGCCCGCCACCACCACCGCGAAAGGCCTTTGCAGAAGCTGCCCCTGTCACGCAAGGTTCTGGCCAAGGCCAGGCATGCAGCATCACCTCCTTCTCCTGCTTCTTGATGCTGTCCAGGAAGCTGTACGTCTTCATAAATATCTCAGGCTTATACTCTCCAGACAGGTCATCAAACCGAGGGTCTCTGTGGATCTGAGGGCAGGGAAGGCAAAGGTAAGAGCTGCGGCCAGGGTTACCCTAGGAGCAGCGAAATCAAGGAACAGCAGCCTGAGGGCTGCTCCAAACACCTGCAATTCCCAAAGCTGGTGGAACAGGTGCTGTCAAGGTGATGGATTTGGGATCTGGTTGGAACTAGATGATATTTAAGGGCCCTTCCAACCTAAACCATTCTGTGATTCACACCTATCTAGGATTTCACAGATTACCTGGGTCAGGGCATACAAAAAGAGAGACAAAGAGATGCCTGACTTTGGAGATCAGCATATTAAGACAATCCAGGGAGGATAAATCAAAGTTATATTCAGATTAGAAACTAAACGGACATTTCAACTTGGAGTGCGGTTAGTGCTGACCGAGGAGCACAGCTTGCAGCATAACCCTTGCTGGCGGCAGCCGTTACGTCTTCCGGCAACCCTCGGGTCTCCCACGTTGGAGCTACCCCTCAGGTTGTGCATCACGCAGGGGGCAGCTGCTCCTCCACCCAAGCTCTTGCTCTTCCCAGAGACCTGCCGGCACGGCCTGTGCTCACCAGCCAGCGGTGCAAGCCCCATCCTCCGGAAACGGCCCCACGACCCCGTCTGTGCCCCGTTGGCATTGCTAAGGGAAGGCAGGTCCCGCTCCGGGGACGGGGAGCACCCACCTTCTTCGGAACAGAGACGACCCGTCGCAGAAAAGGTACAGGTTTCTTGGCAGACATCTCCAATGGCCTGAAAAAGAGGAAAAATGTACTCAGGAGGAGCAGAGGACAGAAGGAGGCCCTGGCTGAGGTTAGCCAGACCCTGAGCAGAACATTACTGCCGAGTGAACGCTCTCCCATTCAACCCTCAGCAGGCTACCTACAGACAGCAACAAGGTGACTCGGCCCAGAGCCAGACAAGGCTGCGATAACCCAACGATCTGTGATGAAAAACCTATCGTGGTTAGAACAATCCTGCACAAAACTTGATACAGCCCCACTCTATCAAGTGAAAACCCACCACCTGCACCAGTAAACACAATTATTCGCCTCTCTCTCCGGGTTTTCCCTCATCATGCAACAACCCTCTTCTATTCCTGGCCCAACAGCTCATCCACTCTTGACCAACACGCTGAAAAGGGAGGCCAGAGTTGGAAATTTCTGCACCGACCCAAGTTACAAAGACAGGCAGGTTCTACTGTGGGCAGGCTTGGCGAGAAAGCGCACTGTAACACAAGTAAAGGGCAACCCCCAGGAGTAAGGGCCGTACAGCTTGTGGCACTGTGCTGGTTTTACTTGGGACAGAGGTAATTTTCCTCACAGTATCTAGTATGAGGCTGTGTTTTGGTTGTGTTGAGAAGAATATTGATATAATACTAATGTTTTCAGTTGTTGCTAAGCAATGTTGACATCAAGTCAGGGATTTTCATTTTCCCATACTACACCTGTGTTCCCAGCTTTGTGTTCCTGCTCTGCAAGAGGGGACCCAGCCAGGACAGCTGACCCAAACTGACCCAAGGGCCTGTCGTGACAGGACAAGGGGTAACAGGTTTAAATTGAAAGTGGGGAGGTTTAGATTGGATATCAGGAAGAAGTTCTTCCCGGAGAGGGTGGTGAGGCACTGGCACAGGTTGCCCAGAGAAGCTGTGGATGCCCCATCCCTGGAAGTGTTCAAGGCCAGGCTGGATGAGGCTTTGAGCAACCTGGTCTAGTGGAAGGTGTTCCTGCCCATGGCAGGGGGGTTGGAACTGGATGGTCTTTAAGGTCCCTTCCAATCCAAACCATTCTGTGATTCTATGATATTGCATGCCATCAATGTCATGCTTGCTATAGAAGCTGAGGGGCGAGCTGGGATGAGAACTGCTGCTCAGAGACCGGCTGGGCATCAGTTGGCTGGTGACGAGC